TCCCCCTCCGTCGCCGCCGACCTTGCGCGTACGCTTCAGCCATATTGTTTGCTCCTTTTCTCCCACTAAGTTTCCCCAATCTCTCTTTCTTTCCCCGAAAACTAAAAAAACCCTAAAATTTTTCCGACACTGAAGGCGAAGAGGTGGCGAAGAACACGGCGGAGGAGGCAGTGCAGAGTAGGATGAGAAGGAGCTCGATGTTGCTACAAGTTCCACAAAACATCCAAGCTATCAGTTTTTATTAAAAAATTAATAATTTCTATTTGAACATCATGGAAAGATGAAAGATTTAAAAATATACTGGCTCAATGTGATTTTTTGAATAATTTTTGATGTTAAGTTCAAGTACAAGGTGGAATATTAAATCTAATGGGTTAGAAGTAAAGTCCAAGGTCTTGCATGTTAAGTCTATTAGGTTGAATAATAAGTCCAATGGCTTGTATGTTTTGTCTATTGAGTTGAATAATAAGTCTAATATGTTAAATATTAAGTATAACGGATTATATATTAAGTCCAATTTGGTTCATGTTAAGTCCACTTTGGTTCAAGTTAAGTCTAGTCTGGTTCGTGTTAAGTTCGGTTTGATTCATGTTAAGTTCAGTTTGGTTCGTGTTAAGTCCAGTTTAATCATTTAAGTCTAATTTAAATTATTTTATGTCTAGTTTAAATCATGTTAAGTCTAATTTAACTTGTTTTCCGACTTAAAACAAGTTGAATTAGACTTAACATAATTTAAATTAGATTTAAAAGGAATTTAACATGATTAAAATTAAACTTAAAAGGAATTAAATTAGACTTGAAATGAATCAAATTGGGCTTAATATGAAATTAGACTTAAAATAAGTTGAAATAGACTTAACATGATTCCGCCCATTATGACCCTATTGTTCGCTCCTTTTCTCCCGCTAATTCTCCCCGCTCTCTCTTTTTTTTTGAACCCCAAAACTAAAAAAACCCTCAAATTCATCGGAGTTCTAGTCGAAGGATTCGTCAAGTCTAGGTTGGTTCATGTTAAGTCTAGTTTAAATCATTTTAAGTATAATTTAAATCGTGTTGAGTCAAACAACAATTCATGTTAAGTCTAATTTATTTTCTATTAAATTTAATTCAACTTATTTTAAGTCTAATTTTATTTTAAGTACAACTTGATTCATGTTAAGTCTAATTTCAATTTCTATTAAGTCTAATTTTAGTTTATGTTAAGTCTAATTTTAGTTTATGTTAAGTCTAACTTATATCTTTTTAAATCTAATTTTAAATCTAATTTCATGTTAAGTCCAATTTGATTCATGTTAAGTCCAATTTTAGTTCATGTTAACTCTAACAACAGTTCTAAGTCTAATTCCAGCTCATGTTAAGTCTAGTTCAACTTATTTTAAGTATAACTTCACGGTAAAACTAATTTTATTCATGTTAAGTCCAATTTTAGTTCATGTTAATTCTAATTTCAGTTCATGTTAAGTCTAATTTCATGTTAAGTCCAATTTAGTCCATGTTAAGTCTAAATTCAGTTCCTGTTAAGTCTAATTTCAGTTCATATTAATGTTGGCCTTCTTGTTTTGATGATTTTACAAACAATTTATAACTAATTTGTTTCTTAGTGATTGTGGCTTGTTACAGGTTACTTTTATCAAGTTATCAAAGATTCAAATGCAAGGCAATCACTTAGGTATATTAGTTTAGTATATAATGTGTCAAATATTCTAAGCTCAATATATATTTACACACACTATTTGATTTTCTATCAAAATATGTTGGTTTGAGAAAACTTTGGTTTATTTGTTTATTAATCATGTTTACCATGTGTTTCTAAGTATGTTATATATGCTTTTAACACATAGCATGCTTTAAATATCAAATTTGGATTCTAAACATGTATTTATGTGCATTTTGCAAATACAATGAGTTTTTACAAATGGTAAGTGTATTTCCAAAAATTCCTACACAAACGTGTTTATTTTTATGTTTATAAACTTTCCCTAAAGTTTCATTATTTTTTGATACAATATGATATTTTTTTATGTGCGTTTAAAGTTCAATTTTTAAAACCTGGAAAATCAATATATCAGTCCACGATCGACCGCAAGTGTCACTGCGGTTCGACCGCACAGAAGACCATATCCCAGATTTGTTTTCAGAGATTCATGGTCGACCATGAGTACCGCTACGGTCGACCTCACAGGAGCCTTGGCTCCATTACTTTCTCAGGCTGTCGTGGTCGACCGTATGTGTCACTGCCGGTCGACCGCCGCACTAGCCGTTGCAAAGTTAAGGCTTAAGTTTCCTGAGTTGTTTCCAATGGCTTTTTGGTCTTTTTCTCTATGTTTTCACTTGGGTTTTGAGGTGTTATAAATACCCCATTGCTCTGAACTATTTAAAAGATAAGAAAATTGTTTAAGCAAGTTTAACAAATGTGACAGTTTTTTTATGATGGACACACGCAATACATGTTACCAAACAAATCTTACAAGAGTTTATGATGCTACCAAATGATGTTGAAAGTATTACTTACAGGATCTTCAAATTAACTGTTTTATCTCGCCATTATCCTCTGTAACTCTTACCTACAGCATGAAATTCCCAGTAAGGAAAATAGAAGCACTACCTAATAAACATGCACAAGTCCTAATATCAAGATGTGAATTGTCATAAACTCTTGTACACCTGCAACATGAAACAAAAAGTAATTATTAGGATGCCTAAAATATTTCAGTGCACTCGTGAGTTAGCTTTAAAGAACAAAATCTGATTAGATGCATCTAAATCCCTGCAGCTTTAATTATTTTACATTGTAGAGTGTACATTATTTGAAATATTTATAGAAAAAAATATCTCATAATATATAGTTGGAAATTCGTGCTAAATACATGCAAAATACGCAACGGAAGACTGTATGTATAATAATACTAAGCATGTAGAGAGTATGAAAAACAGGCTAGAACCATCCTAATTAAATCTAACATGATCCCTATAAAAAAGTGAGCAAGCAAGAGCTTTGAAGGCCTACTTTCGTAGCGTGATTCAATGGTAGATTGAACAACCCCTAGCTCTTTCTCCTTATTGTTGTAAACCTCCTTGTAGTGGATCTTCAAGTCTTCAAGTGCGCTTGATAAAATCAGAATCTTCTTGAGACACAAGGCAAGATATCCACCTCGGGGTACTTCAAAATCCTACTACTACCTCTTACTCAAAGATTGCTAGAGTTTAGTTAGAGGTAGAGCTCTCTTTTATTCTCTTATGGAAAAAAAACCACTTAGTTAATTTTTCATTAACCTTTCCATAAGAGAGAGAGCTCATATATATAGAGTGAGATATGTCATGACTCATCTCATGAGTCATGCAATGAGTCATCTAAATATAATGATTCCTTTCATAAATCATGCAATGACTCATCTCATGAGTCATGCAAAGAATCATGAAGAATCAAAACTATGTGCTAAAACCATGTGCCCAAACCATACCACCTTAATGACTCATCTCATGACTCATTAATCAATGTATAATGAAGTGTGTATTTTATAAATGAAAATACCACATCAATACAGTGTCTTTTAAATAAGGTATTGCGTAATTTTTTCAATCATTAACTAATAAGTCATCATATAACCAAAAAAATCAATGAGTTGACCAAAAATCAACTGTTGACCAAAAAGTCAACCAATTGACTAAAAGTTAACTTTATGGGAAAAATACTGGAATTCATTTCTTAAGCACATAGCATTCTGATTTTACCGATACATATAGTCGTTTATGTGTATCCGGTGAAAATTATATATGTGTATCAATCATACGTATTTAACTCTATACATTGTATTTCATAGGATTCAAGTATGCGTTTGGTGTGACTCTAGGGCCCAACTTAAGACTCGACAGTGGATCATATCCACAAGTACAACAAAGATGCTAGCTACACATGAAGACTACCCGGGTATAAGTTATGATAAATGTCTGTAAGATGCTTACATAATTTTATCAAGACCACTCAGTGATAATATTGTACACATCGGTCTCTTCGTCAAACAATATGTCAAACTATCGAGCCTAGGGTGTGGTAAACTGTCAAACCTTAATAGCTTGATTAATGTTTGTTGATATTAAACCCATAACCTTTAAGATTAAACTGACACTCAGTTTATCTTATTTACCTTGGCCAAGGATTTCCAGGCTATAGTTATATCAAACAATCTTATGACATCAACCCCCCTATACTGGGAGAGACGAATCTCATCTTGGCATCTCAATATCTTATGTCTCAGGATGCACCCAACAAGAACCGTTATGCACAACTATATGAGAACTGTGGTTAGGTAAAAGTCTAAGTACACATATACTGACATGTAAGATATTACATTCATACCTCAGATCAAGAGACTACTTTGTACTATATCACTTTAGAACTTCTAAGTACACATATACTGACATGTAAGATATTGCATTCATACCTCAGATCAAGAGACTACTTTGTACTATATTCACTAATGAGTCACCTGTATACTATATCTTGATGTCTCACGTCAATGATCCAAGAGATGGATCATCATCCTACCAAAGGAGAAATAGAGTATACACTAGTCTTCCCAAAATGATGATGTCTCATTTCTACACTTCATCGACTAGGAATATTTTAGAATATACGTTAGCGACAAATCAGATCTCTTCATTATGATCATATACGAAATGCCTGATAGTCTAGTATCATTCTAAGGACTTTATCTGTATTAAAATACCAAATAAATCTGACCAAAATAGCATACTATCATTTTGAACAATGATGTTATACTCATATAGGTCTTGTTACAATATACAATTATTACCTACAGGGCACCTATATCTAACATAGCGTAACAAACTACAGCCATCAAAAGACAGGCCAAAATAATTGTTGATTTCTGCACTTGAAACAAATTCTGCGCCAAGTTTATTGAGAAAAGTACCTTTACTTTCCTGGAAGGCAATGCCAAATACATAATGACAATTAGATAATACAATCTGGATCAAGATAATATAATAATCTGGGGCTTCATAATAGGAATAAGGCACCAAAATCAAAGTTTGCAATTCAATTACAAAATATCGCTAACTAAGTGCCGGCTGCACATTAACGTGATAAGGAAAATGAGGCCAGTAGTTTATTACACAAGAAAATGGTAGGACATGTTATTACAAGTTTAACTACTCATATTTATATACTTTGTTGATTGCCATAAATTGACAATTTAAGAACAATAATGTAACAGGTGTGTGCACTTCCCCATTTCCCTGGAGGGTTTGCTGCTAACGTTTGCCTACAACTGGTTCTTGTTTCTAAATCCCGTACTATATTCCTTGCTTCTTCCTTCCCATCAATTGTTTACGTTGTTGTGAATGAAGCGTAACTTTGAAGAATACTTGGAGGAGGAGTTAATGAATTCCATCCATGTCAATGTACAAGTGGCAGAGAGTACATAAGATTGTGAAACAGTAGCAGCTTCAGAATTTCATGCTTCGTCAACCGTATCACGGTAGTTAACCATATAGATAGCTATTACTGTCACGAAAGCACCAGCCAGTTGCAAAGGCGAGAAAGTCTCACCCAGATACAAGTACCTAGAGAAGGAAAATTGTTTATGAGTCTAAATTAATTAAATAAATAAAAATCTGAAGAGTAACCAGTTAGCTGTATAAAATATAACACCAAATAGCAATTATCCACAATTTGGGAAAGGAACATGTATGATTCGATTTCACCTTACAAAAATAGAGTATGTTGTATGTATAACAGAAACCTCAGAGTCTTACCCAAAGATTGAAGCAAACATTGGAGTTAAAAATGTGAGGGAGCTGAGTTTTGTTAAGCTACCTGCATTTTCCAACAAAACTTATCAAATATAATAACTCATCATGTAGAAATTTTCTTGGTTTAACTACTTGTGCTTACGACGTACAATGATTCAATTACAAAGTTTAATTATTTAAACAGAGAGTATCGAGAAACCTGAGGAACCTTATTTTGTTGTTCTCTTAGCAGACTACAAATACAAAAGGACAGGAAAATAAAGCCTTGGAACACTTCATAGCGTATTGGAGAAGAAATAACCTCTAGTTGCATTGTAGAAGTAAACTCCATAGCTGATGGCACTGCCAAATATTGAGGTGTATAGGAGTGCTAAAAGATCACTGGATGTAAGATCCATGAGACCCCCACTTATTGCAGGATCATTATTTAGAAGTGAAATGGGCAACAGAGGCAGCCCACCAATAACCATATGCTGTGAACAATTTCAGATTTAATCAATTTATATCAACAAAAAAAGTAGAATAAGAATCAATAACGCCAATTGGAGCAAGAAGAAATGAATAAAGATAAACAAAGTCAAGGATCAATGTAGATGGCATATTTGAAAAATAAAACTTTTCACTTTTCACACTGTTGCCTTTCTCAACTTTTCACTTTTCACACTGTTGCCTTTCTCCAACACCAACCTGATGAGGATTGATTTAGAAAAGTAGTTTCATTTGAAAAAAATTGCAAAGAAATAAATATATGGAAAAGAATTAAGAAGAAAGAAAAATGTTTATGGTAACAACTACTAACCATGCAAAAGAAAGAAGAAAAAAATGGGTCGAGATTTTGGTTAAAATGGGATTTTAATCATGAAAAGGATAAATCTTGTGCCGTAGCCTTATATGAAAAGAAAGTCATTAATTACATTTTAGTTGGTTAAGAATTTTAGTATTTAGAAATTTTTGCTATAACTACTTACTAGGGTAATTGTTGACATATTAGTATTATTAGGGACTTATTTGTAAGATTTGTAGGGGCCTATATAAAGCCCAAGAGATATCATAATGAAATAGGGTTTCTATTTCAACTGTAATCTTTTAGAATTTTTCTGACTACCAAAGAGTAGATTTCTTATTGACCAAATTGTTCACGTTTATGAAAGGCTTTAGCTTATCTTCAATAAAAAATGAGATATTTATGAAAATTGTGACTTTTTTGGAAGAGGATGTAGTGTTATTATAATTTTGGATTGTTATGAAACTTTATAGTTCTCGAGATGAAATCTTACAGTAAGGGTGGAAATTCTTTCCTTCATCCTTTTGTCTACTTTTCTCTCTAATTTCCTCTTACAAATTTCAAACCCTAAATGGCCTCAAAATATCTCTTGATATGTCTTCTATCACCCTAAGCCCTGTCTTTCAGAAGATACATGGAGAACTCAAGCCCAAGAGAACGGTTTGAGCAGGACTTAAAGCCTAAACTTTGTAAAAGCTAAGTGTCTAAAACTGCACCAGAATGTCACTAACAAGGATGATACTGGAAAGGATAGGCAAAGCATAAATTTATTATTACAAAATTTGGAGATAGAAAAGATAGGAAAAAGCAACATACTGAATAATTAATTTCTTCAGAGAGAGAATCATATGTATTGTTCAGATAACAAAAAGTCAACAAATTTTCAGCCATGTAGATTGCTTCGC